CAGTGCCGGAGCTGGCCGAGCTCGTGGGCCGCTACAGCGCGCCCGCGGTGCCGAGCCCGCCTGGCTTCTCGCACTTCATGCGGTGCTCGCCGCTGGGCCTAGCAGTAGCCTGGCGGACGCACCGAGCTGCTGCTGTGGCGCGGTCGTCTCTGTGCTCAGCGGCTGCTGCTTCACATCTTCCTGCGTGCGCCGAGGAAGGGGGTTAACTTCGGCTTATTCTCCGCAGGTATGTCCCTTCTCAGGCTGATATAGCAGTCTTTGAAGCAATCGCGGCCCCACCTCCTGCAGACTTGTTTCATGCTCTTCGGTGGTACAATCATATTAAGTCGTACGAAAAGCAAAAGGCAAGGTATGGTTAAATTGTAAAGCTGGAATATATGTGCGAACTGGCCTACGAAGTGTTGCATTTGTTTTTTCGAGTTTGAACAAAACTGTGTTTCATTGGTACCATGTGGCTTTTTGTGTTGCCGTTGGAACAGGGACAGCTCTAGAAGCAGAGCAGACTTCTTCTATCAGTACATTACACTTCTCAGTTAGAATTCAGGCAACCTGATTCTGTTCAGTTGTTGAGATTTCTCCTAAAGCTTACAAGAAAGGCTTGAGTTTTGTTGCTGCCATTGACACAGGTAACTATGCTGTAATCGACCCCATAAAGGCAACATCATAACGGATTAGAAAGTATTACAGGAGTCTTTAAAAATAAACATACAGTACATCGATGATAAATAAGGAAAGTGGCTCGTTCAGGTTTTTAGTCCTGGGAGGTAAAGCAAAATCAATGATTTGCAATGCAGAAGCACATATAAAGAAGGGGAAATATGAAAGCAAATGTTATCTTTTTTCTTTTTTAGTGATTTTAGTGTTCATGAAAGGTGCTGTATTGACATCCATGGAGACTGCAGGCCTCTCTAAAAAGGTACAGCATAGGTAGTGTCAGTATTGCTGCACTGCCCCCTCTATGTGCCTCAGTCCTGTTTGGAGGGAACTCCTGTAAAGTTGGGTGGCTCAGTCACCAGTCCGTTTCCAAAGCTCTTACAATGCTAAAGGGGACTGAGATTATACAGTTGCTTTACAAAGTCCACTCTGTGGAAACTACTTCTAGTTCCTGAAAACTAAAGCTAGTTTTATGACTCTCATAACAGCAGTTCACAGTAATAATAGAACTATGAGCTTATTCTAAGACTACAGAACTTTACGAGCTATAGGAGAGGATTAATTCAGGGGGTCCTGGTCCCTGGCATGCTGTTGAGAGCTAGCTTTCAGAGTAAAGCATTCACTGAAGCTTCCAAAGTCACAGGATCAGTTACCTTCCCACAATGTGTTTTCTGTCACTGTTAGTTTTTAAACAAATGAAAACACTTGTAGGGAAGCATGAACAAGAAGTTGATAACTCCTCTTACATGGAATATATTGCAGATAAATGATTCCAATAAGAAAGCTTTTTCTATCTATATACTAGGGTGGAGCAGCAATGTTGGGCAGGATCATGTCAGCTTAGATGAACAATCTTTGAATATGGGATTTGCTGTAGTCTCAACTAGCATGTCAGGAGCACTGAGGATTGTCTTTGGGGAGGTTCTGTTTTCAAGTAGCAGAATTAGATACTTTTTTAGCACAGCATTTTTACTACGAGAGCACTTGTAGGTTCATTGACAAATTGGCAGGATTTGTATTGACGTTTGAGTAGGTTCCTAATATCTGCTGTTTTCTTTCAGCTTGCCGGGAGTAAAGAAGGCTTTGGGGAAATACGGTCCTGCTGATGTTGAGGACACAACAGGTGCAGCCACAGATAGCAAAGATGATGATGACATTGATCTTTTTGGATCTGATGATGAGGAGGTACTTGCGACCTTTTTGTATTACATTTGGGTGTTTTAGAAATACCCAGGTATGCAGATTTTTGCCTTAACTCGTTGTAAGTTACTTAAATTTGTGACCTTGATAGCATATCCTCCTCGGAATTCTCAAATTTGTCTGTCTTTGCAGAACAGAAAAGCTTGGAAGGTAAAAACTCAGAGTTAGAAAGAAATATGTTGCAATGGAGTGAACTGTCTACTTTGACTGGTTACATGATGAATAAAACAAAATCACCATCTTTCGGCTGACAGTTGTGATGATTTGTTTTTGCCTGAGTAGATGCCAGTCAGTTTGGTAACGCTTTAAAGATGCAGGGTTTTGGTACTCTTCTGTAACTTCAGATTTCTCTTTCAGGAAAGTGAAGAAGCAAAGAAACTGAGGGAAGAACGTCTGGCCCAATATGAATCAAAGAAGTCCAAAAGTATGTCTACCAAGAACTTAATAATCTTTTATGCTTGGGTTAATTTTCATGCATTTGAACAAGATGGCTAGAAACACTAATTAACTGTAATAAATAAACTTGACTGGAATGAGATGGGAGTAATTAGCTTCACTCGAATTGCCTGAGCTTAGCCTTTCCCATAGCAAAGGGGAACCTTAACATAGTTTTTGTCCTGCTTAATACACTCTTGTTTGTCTTGCCCAGAGGCTGAGCTTTCTATATAGAAAGAGAGAACCCCAGGATTTTCTTAAAAGTTGAGAGAAAGGCTGCAATAGGCAAGTCCCTCCACAGCTACTGGTCTGGAACTGTTCAGAACTGTAGCAGTTGCAGTATTCCTTCTGTGGAAAATAAACTGTTACACGGCATTAAGCTCCTTCTCAGATCCTCTGAAAAGGACTTCCTATGTAACAAACAATGTTAGCTTCTTAATCTGTTTTCTTATGGGACTGTTTCTCAAGAACATGTCTTGAACATTAGGATATGCATAGCTTAAATGCTTTTGAAATGTATGTTAGTACAAGAGGCCTCTCACAGCTATGTGAGGAGGTTCTTGTTGATGAAATTGGAAAAGTTGTTCTTGTAAAACTATTTGCAAGTATATTCATGAGTTCTTGAAAATTTCCTAGCTTTTAATGGCGATTTTCTTCCCCCAGAACCAGCTGTTGTTGCCAAATCATCAATCTTGCTTGATGTGAAGCCTTGGGATGATGAGACAGACATGGCCAAACTAGAGGAGTGTGTTCGAAGCATTCAGGCAGATGGCTTGGTCTGGGGATCTTGTAAGTAGGGGAAAATTTCAAAGCAGGGAGAGGGGAGATAGTGCGGTCTCTTAAGACAGTGTATGAATAGGTAGACATATGGTCACTGTTTGCTGATTTTTGAAAATGTGGGTAGCTAAAACAGAGTGGGAATTAAACACTACTTCAGTAGCTTGAAATGGTCAAAAAGGTGTATTAGTGCAGCGGCCAGGTTAAGATTCAAATACAAGTTTTACAAACTTTAAAACTTTGGCTCTGCTATCCTGCACCTCCCCATACAGGTCCTGATGCAGCAAGCAAACACCCATACACCCACATCACTGGTTTGGAGGGAGGGGGAACCCCACAAAAACAAAACAAACCCTTTTCGACCACCCTGTAATGAATGCTGTGGTGTTGATTAGGCAGTCTATAATATGGAGCAAATTATGGTTTTTATGTATTCCTGCAGACTACTTTGGTCCGTTCAATTTTCATTTGCATTTTTAAGGGATTCTACCAATCAAGGAGTACTAAATGCTCTTTTCTCTCTTTTTTTTTTTTTTTTTTTTTTTTGCAGCCAAGCTAGTACCGGTTGGCTATGGTATCAAAAAGCTTCAGATCCAGTGCGTTGTTGAAGATGATAAAGTTGGAACAGATATGCTGGAAGAGAGAATAACAGCTTTTGAAGATTATGTACAATCAATGGATGTAGCTGCTTTCAATAAGATTTAAGTCTTGATATATGTAGAATAAATGTAATTGCAAAAACTGGGCTGTGTCTGTGGTTAATTCAAAACCATGGTGTAATCCAACATACTCATAAATGTACAATTTGGTTTAGAAGCTAAAACTGAATTTCCAGGCTGCTCCAACACCCCACTGTAGTACCAAAGAGCTTGAGCAGAGGAAATAGAAAGTTCACATTTACCATCAATCCAGATTTAACATTTACATGGCTTTAAAAATCTGAAATGCCCTTTCCTCCATTTTGGAGGAAGTTGCATCTTTGGAAATGTCTGTAATTCCTCTGGAAGGAGGGATGGCTTTAAGGGAGAAGCACAGGGCTCAGGCAAAGTGCAAATAACTTCTTTTTAGCGGTTGAACAGTAGTATAAATTCCTTTTGTTTAATAAGGGTGGTGACTGACTAAATACACCGTGGCTTTTGTTGAAAGCTAAAACTCCCGCTACCTCCGAGGGAGTGGAGATGAGGATAAGTTAGAAGCAACGGGGGGAGTGCAGTGCACAAGAGGTGGTGAGGCGTATAGTGGAACAGACTTTTTATCATCTGACCTGAGACTACCATGCTATCTCCTCATCTCCTGTTGTGTGGACTTGGAGCTCTTTTCCTCTGAGGTGTGAAAACATTTGCAGTGAAATTACTTCAAATTTTGCATCTTTTCCTGTTTTAATTCATACAGCAAATAACGGTAAAAGCTCCCGCTTTCATATTCCAAGGCCCTTGTGTGTCCTGTGCCTTAAGCAGCCCTGGGAGTGGGGCTGTGCCCCTTGAGAGGTGCTGTGAGTGCCAGAGTGGCTAGTGGCCAGCGAGTTGCCTGCTGCAGGCCTGCCCCGGCATCGGCTGTCAGCCCCTGGCGTGGTGCTGTGGGGATTAACGGGGGCCGTGACTGCAGGCTGCAGCTAGTGCGGGCTGAGAGTTTACTTACATAATAAACCTGAAGCATGCTCCAGGCTAAAAACAACAAAGAAATAGGTGTTCGGTTAAAATGTGAAGATAAAGTAGCATAATTAACACCAGTTTGAGCTGCTTACTTGGCTCCAGATTGGTTTCTAGATTGATTTTGACATTTTTTAAAGATGGAAGAACCTATCAGAACAAAATTGTTTTCCAAGAACTATTCCGTAGGAACGATACGAATGTACAAGCTGTCAAAGTTGTAAAGCTTCTAGGCAAATTCACATTTCTAGGCCTTCTGTTGGACTGAGATAGAGAACTTACTGTGACCATGAAATGGAAGCCTTTTATGTGCCACATTGGTCACCCGGAGATGAAGGTGCTCAGTGCCGAAGCCTGACAGCAGCAGCTAAAATAACTCCCGTTGTTCTTTTTTCACAGAGCATCTGTGTGCGGTTATCTGTCGCAGCAGGTCCTGTTCCTCTTTGTTTAAAGGTCTGCCAACCTCAGATTATGTAAGAGCTTTGTTTTATAATTTGTCTCAGAAGAAAAATCTGCCTGCCAGAGGTTTAAAGCATGATTAAACAATTGAAAGTAAGTATAATTACAGGCTTCGTTCCCACCTTCCATAAACTTGAGTCCAAAAGACTAGCTTCACCCTGTGTGTAATTAACGCACAGTACCTCTTCTGTGGCAGTTCTCTAGCTGTTGCTTCTGCTAAATCTTGTAACTTAGTTTTAGCAATTCTGTCATGGTGCTGTTAAAAGCAAGAAATTAGCAAATGCCACATCAAAAAAAAAAAAAAAAAAGAAATAAAAATTCTGCCACAAAAATTTTTATTATCCTTGGCCATCGCTGTTTCTGACCTCCCATTCAATGTGCTTCTTACCTTTAAACTCTTTCCTTGGCCTTGAAATTAAAGCTCTAAGTGGATAAAAAGGTTTGATGTATAGACTGTAACTTTGCTAAAATACAGCACTATGAGCCATCCATCTGACCTGCCAGATGGGATTTTTGTGTGTGTGTTTCATTTATGCTAAGCATGCATGTACAAACTCTTCAGTTGTTGGGATTCCTTTTGTGGTTTTTTTTCCCTGATGTTAGAAGGAAACTTGCTGCACAGGAACAAAACAAGAAACGCTAGAGAGCACAGTCTCCCCAGTTACAAAACAGATAGGCACGTGGGCAAGAGAATTCCACAGAATCCACGTGTATCTACGTTAGGGGTTTTTGTGTAGTATTTGGGTATGTGCTGGTATATTACTGTGTCACTGTGACTGTGAAAAATCAGCATCTTGAAATAAATAAGACACTTCTATCCCAAGTGCACCCCATAACAGAAAGATCAGCAGAAAGTTCCATAACTTAAATATGTGATATATAGGAATACTGGGAAAACAGTTTCAACAAAAGTATTGGTTACAAACTAACCTACATAACAACCTTCAGAAGTACAAACTGTTCAGGAAGCAGGTAAGAGTAAGTAACCACAACCTTTCTACTACGAAATGTGTCAGTAGCTATTATTCTTGAATGAATGGTTGCTCATAGGGCTATGTCCTATGAAGTGTTTTTCTATAGTATCCTTTAGCATGATAAGATAGATCCCCTTCGTCTGGCTTTTTCCATTGTGGTGGGTTGAATGAGCATTCCTCAGTCCAAGCAGCGTAGAACTGCTGGTATTGTTTTGGACACTCTTTGGAAACAGAAACTTAGAGCGTTATCTGTTTTGTTTAGGTATCTTCCATTACTCTTGCAGAAATGATTTGGAGATAATTCTGTAACTGATCTTGGTGTGAATGAGGTAGTAGTTGCATTGCAAAATTGTTAATCCACTTAATTCCATAGACCAGGGCTGACTTTAGCCTTATTCAATTGTATTCTGTATCTCTGTTGTCTACTTCAGGGGAGGCTTTCTGATAATTTATGCATGACAGCATATGTATGTTCCCCCATTTGAAAATCAATCTCTTTACTGTATACGGCAATATGTGTGCTCATATAGCTGACATGCAAGAAGAAAGCTGACATAAACCTTAATGCCTGTAGTAGAAAGGGTCAGGGCTTGCTTTCATCTTCGAAAATCTTTGGGAAGGAGCTGTTCTAAGAATGGGACAGTCACTGCATATTGCTGCTGGGAAAAGCAAATGAACACGCTCTTTGGAAACAACAAAATTTTATTACTTCACTTGGAGTACAGCCAGCAGAGTAGTACTAATATATCATTCTTAGAAAGATGTCAGGGAACATGTGAAGAAAGACTGCAAAATGTTTGATTTACGCACATTCAGCAGCACAGTGCCAAAATATTACGATGAGTCACTATGTACCAGGCAGCAAATGACTCGAAGGAAGAGTGCTGCTTACCACCTTTCCAGCCCAGAGTGAAATACACTGAAATTTCACTGATCCTGCCGGACTCTCCCAAACTCTGAAACCAGAGCCCAAAGAAACAGACCACAGACAGACTGTTTCTATTTGTACAGCTACCAATACTGGATGTATTCATGCATGCATATATATATATGTATTATACAAAAGCAAATATATTTACATATAAGGCCTCATTTACAGTATAAATGCTACTTATGTGTGTTGGCAGGCCATAGAAACTAGGTAGATTATCTGAAAGGCAGTTTTATTCTACATACCTAGGCCAATAACAAGGAAAAAACAGTTCAAATTTACCCAAAGCTTTACGCTTTTACTTTTAGTGGAGTTTTATCCCACATGCAACTTTTTAATTAAGTGGTATTGCGTCAGAAATTGTTCCACTTCACTTAGCACATATGTTTGCATTGCTGCATGTGTGATTCTACAGCAACCAACAAGTTAGAACAGAATACAGCAAACCGGGACTACTACATCTCTCTTATGGGAGGGGACTCCATCTCCTGGATGTACTGTCTTGCCTCTCATTTGCCAAAGCAGCCCACATTTGGCTACAGACTTGTAACAGAATATTGTTGAATTCACTCTGCCCATTTTTAGAAGATTGGCATTAAGGTAAACAAAATGTTATATCATTTCTTTACCTTTGTTTGACAGAGCAATAAAGAGCAACCGATAGTTGTAAACCTCATTAAGCCTGGAAGTTTAAACAAGGAAAAAGAACAAGTGTGGCAGGAGGCCTTTAATCTTAGCTTCTGTAAGAAATATTTTCACTAACTCCTTGCACATCTCAAATGAGCCTAATACCTACATGAAACATCTGCTCAGTATTTTGCACCCAACTACTGCTAAAAGCACAAGAGTGAGTGACCAGAAAACACAGGATCTCCTGCTTTAGTTTTGAGTATAAGATAAAGAACACTGGGAGAAAACAGATTTTATTTCCATATTTTTCTTTTTTGACAAGAGAAGGCAGCAATTCAGTGTCCTCTGTCTTGGGATTCTTCTCCAACCGCAGAGAGGAGCCACCGACAGCTTCACTTAGCTGGGATGTAGCCAGGTGATTCCTTCATAAGGCAGTACCAGATCATCAGGAGACTCATGACCCATTGACTTATGGCCACGTCCTCTTGGATGAGAATGCCCAGATCAAGAGTGTTATCAGTGATGGCAAGGAGGAATATTTTTAATATGTGCTCTTTTGATATCAATGAGGTATGGAACCACAACAAAACAAGAGGAGTACAACAACATTCCTGATCAAAAGGCCAGCTGGAGCAATTCCACTTAAGCTAACAACTTTCAGTTCAGGCTGTGTGTGCATTGCAAGTACACCACACCCAAATGATGTGTCCTTTAAAAGCCTTTCAAGGAAAGCAGCAAGTGCAATTAAGACAGCTGTTTACATAAAGCTGTATATGCAAAAATGCACATCTGACTGGCAGATGTGAAGTCAAGAACAACTCCAAACCTCCGTCAGCTATTTTGGAGAGGGATGGTGACAAGGGCAGTCACTGAGCAGTTTCACAATAGTGCACAGGTGCATGGGTGTTGTCTGAGCTCCACAGCTGCTCACTGACAGTTCCCGAGCGGCTCACCTCCCACAGTGCCAACTTTAGCACCTCAGAGACTGTCGTCTTGACCTGGGCCTGGAACTTTTTACTAATCAGAACATAGAGGATTGGATTGAGGCAACTGTTGATGAAACCAAGGCCAGTGGAGAGGGGAATGCCATCCTGCAGTAAGTCATGCAAGTTTTCATCATGGTGGGCAGACAGCTCCACAATACTGAATATGTGATATGGTGTCCAGCAAACAAAAAAAGCTACAACTACAGCAATGATGGTCCAGAAAAGCCTGCTGGAAGTCAATACAGTTCTCCTCTTCACTTTGACAATCAGCAATGAGTAGCAAATGACCATGGTGACTAGAGGAAAGAGGTAACCAAACGCAAGCCTCACCCAAATGAGAATGTGATGTGTCAGCAAAATAAGTTCTCTGTCATGCACATGGAAGTTGTTGTAGCAAATGGTGACATTGTTGAGAACTGTAGCTGTGTCTCTAAAGTATAAGGCAGGGCCACCAATAATTGCAGCTGACATCCAAATGATCCCACTAAGAATGAGGGTGTTCCTTACAGTCCGATACTTGTATGAAAAGACTGGGTGGACTAGGCGGATGTAGCGGTCAAGGCTGATGAATGTCAGGAAGAAAACACTGGCAAACATATTAAGTAGTGCAATGAATGAATTCATCTTGCAGAGCCACTTCCCGAAAGGCCAGTGGAAGCCCATTGCCACATATGTAATATAGAGGGGCAGGAAGAGAACAAAAATGAAATCTGCAATGGCCAGATTGAGGAACCAGAGTGTAGAAACAGATTTATCCCACTTAAAGCCCATAAACCAGATGACGATGGCATTACCTGGCACTCCCAGCAGAAATGCCACACTGTAAAAGGAAAGGGAAACCATATGGGCAATACTGAGGGAGGACTGGGGAGATTCATCTTCCTCAGACAGGTCGTAGAAATAAGAGTAGTTCTCAAAATCTTCAAACGTCATGTTGCACAGTTGCTTTCTGAGGAAGAAAAGAAAAGGAACGGTCAAAGGAGAAATGTTTCACTGCATTGCAAATAGTAACCTGCAATTCCTTTAAGTTCTTGGTCATTAAAAAACCCAAAACATTAACTTAGTTTCACATATCTATCACTTTTCAGCTGTCAGTTGCTAGCAAAAAGCTTGTGGAGTATTTTGGTCACAGGCATTTCAAGAAATGCTCAAATCATGACAACATTTGAAATCTTAAGGAACTCTTTTCCTTGCATTTATTTCTTAACAGAGAGCACTGAGCACAGTATCACTCATAAATTTCTGGGAGGCCAGCTGTAAAGTTTTACTGAAGTGTGAATTTTCTATGCTTTTCTAGTTGGGTTTCATATTTTACTGCTCTGTTCCTATTTGAAGCAAGTTTTATGAATTATATCTGTCAGAAATCAGAGAAGCACCAGGCATCTATGTAGGCAAAAAAGTGCAGTTAAAATGCCAGGAAGCCATTTTTTATAAAATTACCAGCCACACACACATAACTCAAATTATAGTTAACAAAATAATAGACACAGATTTCTCCAGCAACTGAAAGTTCATGGGTTTATTGCTCCCTATCATGTATCTACCTTTGTATCAAGGATTGCTGATTTTCAGACACATTCAACATATTAGATTTCCTTAATGCAGCAAAGGATTTAGAGAAGGAGAGCTGAGAAACAGGTAATAGATGAAAGAAAATAAAGCTTCCCAGGAGAATAAGACACACTCTAAGAGCTATAGATGAAAATATGTGTGTCTTTTTTTTTTTCTTTTTTTTTTAAAGACAGAACGACAGTCTCAGTTTTCTATTGTTGCAAAAGCTTTTGGAACTTACAAGTACAACATGATTTTTCACATAGGAATTTTTTTCTAAAACTGGAAAGGAAGAGTGTGGGAAGGAGAGAAGGGGGGGGCCGGGATATAAACCAAAAGAAAAACCCAGAAAAAAAGAAATTAATGGGAAAACAGATAGCAAACAGAGGTTGAACAGGAAAAAGCACTCAGAAGTTATGTACGGCCACAGATGGCCACAGTCTGACAAAAGTATCTGCCATGGTCAAAACAAATATTCTGCTAAATTTTGTTATTATTTAAAGCTATAGTGTCTGGCTGGACTCAGCTGCACTAAAAACCTGTCCCTGAGAGCAGGATACAACCAACCCATTAGCTGTACTATGAATGAGCTTACTGGTATACTTCTGAGCACCAGCTCCGTTCAAAAACGGAAATTCAGTCCACGCTTTTGGAACCCAGCCCTGCATTCCTGTAATTCCATTAATTTTAGCATGCTAAGGACAACAGGAGCAGGGTCTCCAGAGTGCATTGCCTGCAGAACAACATCTGCAAGCTGGTATTCATGTACATACCTTTCCTCCAAAAAAGTAGTTTGCTTATTTTGAAAGGATTACTCACACAAGTGAAGCTACGCATGTGCACACACATTAGCAGGATTAGATTTCTCATTTGTAGATGGATAGACAAGATAAAAAGAAAAAAAAAAGTTGTGTAATTTTATATCTCTTGATTAAAAAAAATATATAATAAGAGTCAATACAGCCTGTTCTGCCAAAAGGCTATGATAAAATTTGCCCTTTGTAATTTACATCAGGCTGAAGGAATGTTATTTGGTTTGCTGTCCTGATAAAATGATACTTATTGGGCTGCATTTATGTAATTATATGCCCCTTGGGGGTAGATTCTGCATCAAATACCAGTACCACCCATCTGAGTCATTTTTTCAAATAGCTTAACATCTGCTGAGAAATAGTATAAACAAGGAGCAGTACCACTAACATCTGGAACAACATTACATTTGGACAGTTTCAGAGGACAGTCAGGTTAATTGGATTTTTAAGTGTCTTTGCCTATATACAGAACTATATTTTCAAATCAAATTTATGCAATTAAACAAAAAAAAAAAAAAATCCAGTTTTTCAGACTCTTGCTGATTAACATCCTGTATTCCAGTCAGTAATCAATTTTGCTTTTAAGTTTCTCAAGAGCTAGCACAATGCAATAATACTTGGATTCAAACATTTCCTCCCTATATGTGTAACCCCTAAACCTTTTTTTTTCCTAATGGTGCTAAAAAAACATAATGACAATAACAAACATTTGCTTACTGCCCAACAATGTTAATTTTATATTTAGAATTTCAAAGATGATGTCTAGCAGGAGAAAGAAAACATACCTAAATAAATACCAAATATTTACCAAGCCTCCTGTAGTTTAAAACTCCTCCACTGGAAGAGCACCCCTCTAGAATGCAATTATTTTTCCAAGCTTATACTTTTTCTTATCTCTAACTCCTAGTCTTCCAATGCAGTAACTCTTTAGCAGTGGGGGCAAAAAAGCAGGAGGAACATTGCTTACCATTGCTCCCAGCGCACAGATGCTGAAACTAGATTCTATGGCTAGGGCTCAGCAAAGATTGACAATTACATATGCAAAGCCCAGAAACCTTTACCTCCGACATCCTTATATATGAAGTACTTCTGTAACAGGACTCACGGTGTTAAGCCCTGCCCTGAAAAAGATAACCAGTAGGTGATTTTCAGTGGAGCTATGCTGGTTTACAACGAGGACCCAGATTTTTTCTTCTGAGATAACCGTTAACCATCAAACATCAGGGATGTTTCTTTGTGTTCTTGAAACACACATAGCCCCAAATACATGAGTTTGGGTTTTATTTATTAATAAACTTTCAGAAGCAGACCTGTCTTGCAGTTCAAGTCTAAGTCTTGAAAGTGAAGAAATTTAATTCTATTCCTTATTCTGTCACTGATTTCCTGTATGATCTTTGACAAATGATCCAGGCTGGAAACACTCTCATGAACCTGTCTGCAAACAGAGACTCAGTAGAGAAAACAAGACTTTTTGCCAGCAGTTTCTGCTTGGCTTTCAGGCCAACTGCCAGAAAAGGTAAGGGAGGTTTGGTGCAATTCACTGGCTCAGTCCCTGCTGGTCTGGGGTTGCAAAAAGGAGCCAGAGGGAGGAAAATATTTTTCAATAAACAGGAAAGTGTGGTTAGAGGCCTGGCAATAGGACTTGGGGGCAGCCACAGGTTACAGAACAGTGTTGTACTGCATATGGATGAATATAACCAAGTTTAGACTTTTTTTTTTTTTTTTAATAGTAAACAGCCTGTGTAAAGTGTACGCTCAGCAGTTGTTTGCTGGAGTCTGTTCCTGTTTGCTGAGGTCACAAGCAGATCTGAAAACTGAGCCTCCTTGATTCAGTCGCGTAATTATGAATATAGTTGCCTAATTTTAAGCAAATAGGTTTCAGAATGCTTGACCAGGAGGTTTCATTTCCTGTCCCCTTCTGTAAAACAGAAGTTAATTACTAAACAACTTCATAGGAATATCACAGGCTGACACTTGGGTGCTAGCGCCTTTTAGATCCTGGGACAGAAAACAGAATTACCAAGAAATACAGATCATTAGGAAATATTTCTAAAATACAAAGCCACAGAACTGCTGGGAAGAGACTTCACCATGTGCTACATGAACTGTCTTTCTCTGAATTTCAACAGTAGCTTTTTACTACAAGTACCTAGAGTTTGTTTTCTCTGCCACCATTACAGCATTGCATAAAGTTGAGCCATAATAACAACTTGGACAAATGATTGGATCTGCTTAAAACAGAACAGCTTTTGTCACACTACAAATGGCCTTATGGTTATGACATGGGACGAGTATTTTGGACTCTATTCATGGCTATGCCACATGCATCCAGTTTGACCAGGGGAAGTTGTTTGACCTCTCCACACCTCAGCCCTGAGGTCAGTGGAAAGGCTTTGGAATGAAATTACAGTTTTCAGTCTAAAATAGGAGAAAACAAACAAAACAGTTACAATTTCCACTCACTTCACTTGATGCAAAGTCTTCCTGGGGGTTCAAAGTTCGCTGGGCACCATGCAAGTTAGGGTCCAACTTAATTACACTGGTAGCTTATGCCACATGTTTGGGCTACAGCCCACACAACCTCTCTCTGACATTTGGTCCTCATTAGCAGAGACTTCCAAGGGAAGAGCTTATTCATTGTCTATGTTAGTTAAAAGTTAATAAAAATATTTGAGGGGTAGTCCTAAAATCTATTTGTTCAGTGTGATAAACAGCGCTCAGAGCCTCTGGCCAGCTAAATTGATTTCAGAGGTCACAACAGTGGGTCCTGACTTAATAGGAAAATTAAGGTTTGCGGAGTTGGCTGTCTCAACAGTTAACTTCATAGAGGGAATATATTACACAAACCCTTCTTTTAATGTCTTTATGAATAATTCTGAGCATATTACATTCCACATGTATGATCTATGGCTAAAGAAAAGCTTATTTGATTGATTCACTTCAACTTTTGTCATTTGCAGAGTCAAATGTTGGAGAACAACTAGTTTCTCAGAAGATCACCTAAAGCCTGCTTGTCATACTGTGTCTCAGCGAGTTTGTCTGGATATTGAATTCATTCGAGAGGCCTCAAAAAAATTTCTTGGAACTTTTGAGGTGCTAAATTTTGAATTTATCTAGCTTCAAAAACATAAACATTAAATTCATCCAGTACTTCATCTGTCAAGTTCAAAACACAGAAGGCTGAGTAAGTTTGTTAGGGGTATATACATATTTCTGGCAAGTATTTCACAGAGACATAAGAAAAGATCCTAAAACTCACAAGGAATACTGATGAGATTACAAACCATCATAGACTCATATTTCTCCCTCAAAAGAACAAAGCCAAGATGACCACTTGGCTCCATATGGAAACACTCCTATAGCAGGAAGTGCCTGATACACCCATACTACAAAACTAAATCATAGCTATGCTATAATTTAAGCCTAAAGCTGGCCCTGCAGACAAAGATACCAGGAAACAAGCATTTTAAGCTAGTATACACAAAAGCAGAATCAAGGCTCGTATGCATGTTTTCTCTTTCACAGATGCATACACAAACGCCTATCCCTTGACTATCATTTTAATGATCA